CGATGCAGCTGAGCTACTGACACGAACGGAAAACGGGGTACGTAAAGTGGCGGCCATTGAAACCCCGTTCAAGCTGAAAGGACGCAAACAGAGTAAATGCGTTTGAGAGAACATCGTCAATATGATGCAAAGTTTCGGATTTTGCAATGAACTGGCTGAACACAAACAACTGTAACAAAAATAACCCACACGCTGATTTTTTTTCTCTTAATGTAATAGTAATTATTAATCATACATTTATCTGTGATAATTTGGAAAACAAAAATCTGACTTTCGCCTCTCAAATTAAAAAAAAATAGAATTTTTATCCATAAAACATTAAAATTGTTAGACTCAAATCAGTTGTAAACTTTAAAATTTAAATCTTAAATCATAAATCTAAGAACTTTAAGTGATTTTGTCTTTTCAATTTAATGTTTAACTACTAAAGTTTTATTTCCCAATTTTGACGAAATAATACTTTTTCCAGTTTTCAAGACCAAAACTATAATTATCCAAGATTTTCATGAGTGAAACCATAGTTAAACCTAGATATAATTGCACTTTTTTTCTTAATACTTCTATACTTTTAAAGTAACGTTAGCTTAATAAAGAAAATACGATAATGAAGAATAAAAATATACATATTATATGTTTGATTTCAAAATATATACTATAAAACACCACAAATTAAATGAAGACGGAAGATACGAGTTATGTAATTTTCATTATAAATAAATGATGAGATAAATCAAAATTAAAATTGTACTTCATATTAAAACTTCATTATTTGAGGACATGTTTTAACTTTAAATTGATTTCTCTTTTTTTTCATTTATTTTTTATGTTTATTACCGCTTATTTGGAATCAAAGTATGAATCACATACTAAAAGAAAATAGACATAAATTTATTATTTTTAAGTTTTGACTTAAATTACGTCAAATCTTTCATACGAAGTCTTATTAGTATTGAATTTCTTTTAAAAAAAAATTCCAAAAAAAATACTTAATTGCTTATATAATCTCTATATTCAGTGATTATTTTTAGTTTAATACCAGCTTTTAAAAGTGCATAAATTGTGTCATAAAGTTAAAATTGTATAAATGAATCTTATTTCTTAAGTTGGTAGCAACGACCATAACTCCATATATTAACATGATGAATAAATTAATGTTTTTTTTTCTCTCCCATGCTGTGTCCAATTTTTTTCTCTCTTCCATATTAATGGTTTCCAAAATTTTATTTTTTTATTTTTTCTACCAGTGAGTCAAATCCACTAATTTCTTTTATTATATTAACTTTCATGTTGTTTAATCTCTTCAATACTACTGCAACGAATTGCTTACCTATAATCAATAATTAATTAGCTAAACTTTCTACCAATAAACTACGCTTCCTTGTTTATTTTCTCACGCGTACACTTTTCATATTTCTTTCACTCAACTTCTTAAATTGATAAATTCTAAAGTCACTCAAAAAAAGAAAAAATGAATTTATTTTTTTCATAAATTTAATTGATAAATTCACGCGTACACTTTCATAGTTTAATTAAATTTTATTTTTTCATAAAATTTAATTAAATTTATACTACTTCAATTAGTTTATAACTTACAACCTATTTAAATTGTTTCTATTAATATTCTTATCATTAAATACACTTTTTTT